GTTTCAATAAAAGGAAGAACACATATATGTGTATAATACTTGAAAGGATGACACAAAACCATTTCTTCACCAAGTTCAGTCATGGAGTTGCACTCTTTGCATTTCTTCAATCCATGCTTCTCGGCCATAGACCCGGATATGCCTTGATAATACTCTGTCTTACAGAATTCATCACATGTATGTTATTGTGCCTATCTATATATATCACAGTTTATGCAGAAACAAAAACTCCATGCATATCATGGTTTCTCATAACCGCTCAACAAACACCAAGGATCCACGATGTGTGTATTCTAGGAGGCTGTGTGGATTAGAGCAGAACATGCAATATTTAGATAGAATACTCTGTCTGAAGATGTCTGTCTCTCGTTGGTATTTTCCTTTATTTATGTTGCAAAGAAAATTGGAATTTCTATTATGATACAACCTATTTGTTGCAGTTTCCTTTATTGACAGACAAGGAGCTCTACTGATAAAGATTGGGAGAAAAAAACATAGTAACAGTTTCACTTAACACCACCAGTCATTAACTTAATCAAAAGCTAGATGGTTTTATCTTCCAAAGAATCCAAACAAAACTATCACATGACATCACTTGAATTGAACATAAGATGATTAATTCTTGTAATATCAATGTCAGAGATTGGATCTATAGGCCTCTCGTCCCCTTCCTCCATCTGAGAATCAATCTCCCCAGGTTCTCGACTATACTCATCTGCCATTATTAAGAACATACAAACAATTAGAACATCATCATTAGCAATCAAAACTTAAAAAAAAGAACACACACACCATGCACAGCGTAGAACATCTAATATGCTGCGGATAACTCACCAAACAAGGTATTGAGAGAGGTAGGGTGTGGAGTGGAGATGAAGTTGAGACCAATGTAAAACGCCAAACCTAAGAGCAAAGTCACCATCAGGTAGGTGGGCATAGCCAAGACCCAGTACCTGCTTGGGTAGTAATGGATCCCTATAGACTCCAACATTTTATCTGGAACATAAGCCCATATCAAGAAGATCACTGTGGCAACAACGGTGGAGATGGAGCCTACAAAACCATACACCTCAGAGGGTTTAGGTCCCTGCACTTGCGATGCTCTGAGCTGAGACGACCTTATGCTGTCTGAATCCTGGAAACCGAAGGGCTTTTGCTTCTTTCTCTTGGAGAAGCTTAGAACCCGTCTTGGACTATTCACCGAATGAGCTTCTTCCATTGTTTTTGGACAAAGTAGGCGAAGGAGAAATCACTGATAAATTGAAAGAATGAACATCAGTGAATAGTTTTTTGACATGACTAGGCTGCATCCAAAGGAACATGCAATGATCAAAATCTTTCAAAAATAAACCAGAACAGTTGTTAAACAACAAGCTTTACATATGAGAGATGATAATGCCAATAGAATCAGCTCACAATAGCTTTTCTTGCTAAAAGTAAAAAGGAGACTATCAGAGTATAACAAAACTTACAAATTCCCAGACTAGAAATATGAAAAATCTATCTTGAACTTTGTCACTAATCCTGTCAATTATATACCGGTTTTAAAAAAGGAAACAGAGAAGTCCTAGTGATTAAAACTAATATCAGTTACTACATGTTTGTCTTCTCACCAGATTCACTCTAAAAGGAAGCAGACTTAGAAATCAACTGATAAATTGAAAGGATGAACATCAGTGCATGATATGGCTAGATATCAAGACTGAAGCTTGTGTAGATGGATTCTATAAAGATGAGGAAAGACCACTTCGTGAAAGACTAACAACAAGTCGACAGACTAAAATCAAGGCACAGACAGAGATTTGAAAGAGCATTTAATCAGAACTGAGAAAGATCTGTCGTTAGAATCTAAGCTGCATCCAAACTCAAGGAACAATGTTTGGTACACACAATGATCATGTCTTTTTCCAAAAACTAACAGATTGCTTCCACACGGGAGATGTTAATCCCAATATCATAAGCTCACAATTGCTTCTTGTGATAAAGAAGAGGAAACTACCAAAATATAACCTTATAAATTCCCAGACTAGAATGTGAAATGTCTATGTTGACATTAGTCTCTCAATATAAGTTGTAGTAGTTAAAGTTGTCTTTCTACAATCTTTCAAAGATCATATCAATTCATGTATGATGAAAGCTTAAAACATCTATACAAGAAACAAATGATACTTAGATCCAATGAAATGAAAGGAGAGAGAACATAGACGAGAAAGTGTAAGCAAAGCCATATCTACCCAGAGAATCAAGTAACCCAGAAAATGCAAAAACACAGAGAAATTGCAACCAAAGCTCAAATTAGGCAGAAGATACTACAGAAACCAAAGCTCTAAACCTAAAAATTAACGAATTTGGCCGCGAGAGTTGGGGAATATTCAACAAAATACACAAAAAAACCGCTAACGAATTCCTAACCGCTAATGTGAAAATCAGATCAATCAAAGAAAAAGGAGACATAAGCTTACACGACAGAGTACTGACCAAACAGGATATTCCTCCTCGACTTCTTACCTCCGATCTATCCCAAGTTCGGGTATGAATTCGTTGTCGGAAAATGAATCGGTCCGAGTAGCAGGTCGTGTAATCACACAGGTTATACATAAGCCTTGGGGAAAAACCAATTATTGTTAATTGTAATATAACTTTTTAAGTAAAAAAGATTTAGGGTTTAATAAATTGGGGGATGGGGGAGGCCCGCGCGAGTCGAGTTCTGCAAAAGTAAGCAGCGTCAACGACTCGGCCAGCCTATTTCCCTTCCATAAATTCTTGCGCCACTTTCTATGTTTTACTGTCAGCGCTGCGACCGGCTCTCACCGCTCGCTTTGTTTTCCTTACTCATTAGTTTAAGGCAATTTTTCTAAGTCGATGGTCCTTTACATTTTATAGCATCATCCACATCACTCATCCGCCTCAACTTCCCGATGTGGGACGAATAACAAACATTAGTACTTATCTTCACTCCAAACCGATATTGATCCGGTTCGGTTCTTTATATTTGATCTGATCTATCCCAACATATTAGTTGAACCGAACCAGACCAGACTTGATTTTCAGTTAGATCTTGGTTGTAGATATTTTACCATAATCAAACTAGCTTTCTTTTATATTGGTTTATTTTTTTTTTTATGAATGAAAACTACAAAATCAATTTATGATTCTACTTGAACATGGTTAATCATAAAAAAAATCCAATTATTCTCAAGAATTGATAAAAAAATTGCATTTATATAAGATTTGTGGTACACATTAATGCATTGTGCCAAATTAAAATGGTGTACAGATTTTAATTTGACACCGAACAGCTATTCTCATGGTGTAAACATTAATAATCAAATTTGTTTGTGGTAATTGAAATACGTACAACAAAACTAGATATGGGTTACAAAGGTACTACTTGTCTGCTAAACGATACGGTGAACATTAAGCTTTACGAACTTAGACGTAGAGACCTTCTCTTCACAGCTTTTAACGATATAAGAAGCTAACAGTGGGATCTAGCATGCTCAGGTTTGTGAGTATACTCATAATCAAGATGCACAAAAGCCCGTTCTATCTCCTGCAACTGCTCCAGCTTCTCTTGCAACGATTCCCCAATGTCGTGAGCCACTTGCAGTGGCATATCAGCAGGGAGAACTATATCAACCTCCACAAAGTAATGAGATCCAAACGTGTAAGCTCTCACTGTGTCGATATGCCTTATGGCTTTATGGTGGTTCCAACACAGGTATGTCAGTTTCTGTAGATACTCTGGTGTTGCTGTTTTCCCGACTAGAGAGTTTACATTCTCCAAAACCGTCATTGACCATGTCCTTATTGTGTACAGTGCAAGCTTTACATGAATCAAAAGACCTTTTTTTAGGAAGAAGTATAAAGAGATGTTAATACGTTATTTTATTTAACTTACAATGATAGCTCCAACTGGATCCATCCAGTTATCAATGTAGTTGGCTAGGATTACTGCAATGAGTCCAATAATGTTTGTGATGACGTCGAAGAAGTGGTCTTGAGCATAAGCTTTGACAATCTCGTTACTGAAGGATCTGCAGTAAAGAACGAGAAGCAGTTTGACCAGTGTAACAGAGAGCATGATCCCAACCACCCAACTCTCTTGCTCTTTTGTTAGGCTGAACTCCTTGTGCTGTAATAGAACAATTGAGTGAAATTATGTATTAATTTTAGAACCGAAGCTTTCAGACAAGATCAGGCTTACTTACACTGGATAACATTGTGCGAAGAGACTCCAAGATGATTTGCAATCCAAGTGTGGCCATCACTGATGCAAATACTAGGATTCCCTGAGACAAGATTGATTCAATAAGATCACAAAAGGGAGGAAACACACATATATTTATATATATGCATAATGTTTTAAGAGGATGATACAAACCAGTGGCNTCCAAGATGATTTGCAATCCAAGTGTGGCCATCACTGATGCAAATACTAGGATTCCCTGAGACAAGATTGATTCAATAAGATCACAAAAGGGAGGAAACACACATATATTTATATATATGCATAATGTTTTAAGAGGATGATACAAACCAGTGGCTGCATTCTTTTCTTCCCAATGGGATACTGATAGGGGTTTGGTGTTTGCATAGAGAAGGCGGTAAACCAGAGGATGAAGCCAGAAAGAAGATCAAGAAGAGAGTCCAACGTGGAAGCAACGATTGCTAAAGAGCCACTTGTCACCGACGCATAGACTTTAGCAGCAAAGAGAACCATATTGGCAATGTTTGATATTCTAATCGCCAATGTCTCGCTTTTAGCCAGATTGTCTTGCTCTTCCTATGTGCACACAACACAGAGATAAGTATCAATAAACAAGAACAAAAAATGTGGGAAAAAGAGACAAGTTGTCATCATCATCATTCTAAGCTAAACCTTTGACATTCCAGGGACAAAACCACGTTCTGCGAGTTCATCCATTTCTGTAAAGCCTTCAAGCATCTCTACTTGCTGCTGGTAATATTCTGCCACATTGTCTTCCGGACCTGCACCCACCAAAGACATAACAAAGCTTTCACAAATCTGTATAGCAAAAGAAAAAGAAGCAAGCAAAGTTTCAAACTAGTTATGCTACATTGCTTCTCACTACTTTAGAGCACAGTAACCAAAAAAGAACCTCTTTGAGATTTGTTCTGATTCTACTACTATAGCTTCAATCACGACGACAGAGTTTCTTGATTGGATTCACAGATTATGATTAAGTTAGTCATCAGTCATGTTCAAAAAGAAAAAAAAAATACTCCCAAAAATCAAGATCATTATTACAATAAACTCATGCAAAAGTTTCCATATAATCTGAGGTGAATCCATCAAAACTTAGTCACCAGCAAAGACTCCACTAACTCCCAAAGAAAAGTCTAAAACCTATTATAGAATTTGATAATTATGTTATTTAAGAATCAACAAATCTAAAAATAGCAAAGCAAAGTCCCCAAACTCAAAAAGTCCAACCAAACACATCAACTCATTTGTCTCCCTACAGACCAGCCTTGTCCTAATCAGTCAAAACAAAAACTAATATAAATGTCGAGAGGAGAGGAGACTCACCCAAGCAACCAAGACAGTTATGCAATTTGCTCAGCGATTTCTTCTCCATATGCTCCGGAGAAACCTGAAAATCGTCGAAGTTTAGCTGCCACGAGCGGTCACCGTTACCGTTAAACTCGAGCAGAGAGATCCCTTCCTCGGCATCTGGCCTAACCATTATTAAAGCGGCGGTAGAGATTATTTGGGGGCGAAACGGTGAAGGAAGGTGTGAGAGTGGAAAATTTGAAGAGACGGCGAGGGTATTTCGGTAATTAAACCGAGGAGTTCTGATACTAGCTACTACGACTGGTGTGGTAGACGTATCAGTAACCACAAAGATACTTTGGGACCAGACACGAGATGGAAGCGTCTTTTTCAAATGTCTTACGTGGCGACTTTTAATTGGTTTTAGTATCTCGCACGTGATTGACGACGGCTTTCTGGACACGTGTACATTAATCTCCGACTGTACATCCCGTGACATGGCCATTTCGAAACCACGTCGTTTTAAGTATTATTTCTTAAATGGCTGGTAACTTTTTATTTGGGCTTTATAATAGAAGGCAAATGAGAATATTAAAGGCCCAAGTAAATTAGGGTTTTGTGACTTCCACAATATAAGTCTCCGCCGCTGCGAAATGAATTAGGGTTTCAGCTGCTTCATCTCTCTCCAGGTTCGTCCGCATTGTCTTCTCCACTGCTTTGTCCTGTAGCTGTCGTTCATTTCTTTGTATGGTTACTAACTGAGTTTGCTTTTGTCTGATAGATTTTTGTGTCGGAAAGATCCTTCAGAGCAATGTCTCCGGCTAAAGGTACAGTCTTTACATTCAGAATCAGATTCAAAATGTTCTTCTAGTTAGATTTGAATCACTTACAACACTTATGTTGATTGCAAACGCTCGTAACTAGTCTTGTATTGATGCTTGGTAACCACGTTATTGTAAAGTACTTAGCTTTACTTGAGATAGTGTTCAAAATGATCTTTATGTAGCTTTAGTTTACTATAAGCATTCTAAGTTGCTAAATTTTTAGGATATGCTGTTATGTTCTGTAAGCATTCTAAGTTACTAAAGCTCTTTTGTTTTGTTAGTTGATACCACTAAGAAGGTCGATCCAAAGGCCAAGGCCTTGAAGGCAGCAAAGGCAGTGAAATCTGGCCAAGCCTTCAAGAAGAAGGACAAGAAGATTAGGACTAAGGTTACATTCCACAGGCCAAAGACTTTGACCAAGGCTAGAGACCCCAAGTACCCAAGAATCAGTGCTACTCCCAGGAACAAGTTGGACCATTACGGTATCCTCAAGTACCCACTCACCACTGAATCTGCGATGAAGAAAATTGAAGACAACAACACTCTTGTTTTCATTGTTGACATTCGTGCCGACAAGAAGAAGATCAAGGATGCTGTTAAGAAAATGTATGACATTCAGACCAAGAAGGTCAACACCCTCATCAGGTATGTCACCAAAAAGAGTTGCCTTTTGTGGGATTTGAGTTTGTTTGATTGTGTTTTCATTATTTATTTGACATTGGTAATTGGTTTTGTTGCAGGCCTGATGGAACGAAGAAGGCTTACGTTAGGCTTACACCAGACTATGATGCGTTGGATGTTGCTAACAAGATTGGCATCATCTAAATTTATCTACTACCTCTACTATAAAAACAGACTTTCGGTTTTGTCCCTTGTAGACTCAGTTTTGCGTTTGAGATATTATCTATCTACCATCATCTGGTGATTGTAGTATTTTGGGCAAAATCCTTTTTTACAATACATTCTTGTTGCAGTTTAATGTTGAATTCGAATTCTATGTTTTTTTGGCTTATCAACAATCTTAACTCGTTATAAAACTTTTGAAGTGCAAACACACAAAAGTAATCTTTTCACTTTTAACAGATTTGGAACCACAAGTTTATTTGGTTTTTCATTATCCACATGATAATATGAGTGGAGAAATTTGAGAAATGACAAAAACAAAAGTCTCTTATCCGAATAGACAAAACTCAAGGTAATGAACATTGATCATCTATAGTCTTCTAAGTTGTAGCCATTATGGCAGTCTCTTCACTCTCAATCCGCTATTGTCTTTCACCAATAATCTCCCACAAGGTCAGTAAACACTGCTCCTATTCATCATTATCTCAATTTCTGATTATACACATTTTCTTAACCAGACAGATATTCCCTGTCCAACACCATCCCTCAGAGCTTGTTGTTCACATTCATCCGGCAGCAATCTTGACTCCTCTGAGAATAGTAAGAAACCAAACTCTTGTTGACATTGTTCTTCTTATGTTACATTACGTTAGCCTTTGAACTGATTTTGATGTTGACACCAAAAAGGAAGTGGAAGTAGTTGGAAGAGAAGGCAAGCGCTTGTGGGAGTAGGAACTTTATTGGCAACTTCAGTTCCAGCAACTCTGCTTCTTGCTGAAGGCAATCTGCCAAAACTGACTCTCTTCTTTATTCTTCTGGAACCATATACATAACTTTGTTTGGTCTTGTAATGTTTCTGCAGAGGTACCAAAAAGCTACTCGGCTTTTGTGGATCGAGAAGACGGTTATTCTTATTATTACCCATCAGATTGGAGGGTGGGTAAGCTATGGCTTTGGTTCTTATTATTGTTGTAAGGATGAAAACATAAATGAATCTTGCTCCTGGCAAACTTGTATATAGGAATTTGACTTCAGGGCACATGATTCAGCATTCAAGGATAGATATTTGCAGCTGCAGAGTGTTCGTGTCAGGTTCATACCAACAGAGAAAACAGACATCAGCGAAGTGGGTCCAATGGAAGAGGTATGTAATACAACATCTTACTGTCCTCCCTCTACTCTCTATATCGTTTGAGATTTCACATTTGTTCAGCATTATTATGTCTTAATCAGGTGGTTTATGATCTAGTGAAGCATAAGTTTGCAGCACCAAACCAAGTAGCTACCATCTACGATATGAAAGAGGTCAGATTCACATCTTCTCTTTGTTGCTACATCTTAACGAATCGTCAAAGTTTTCAGAGATTGGATGTTTATAAAGAAAAAGCTTGAAATACAGAGGGTGGAGGATGGAAGGAGCTATTACACGTTTGAGTATGAACTAAGAACTCCCATCTATGCAACTACTTCCTTTGCAACAGTTGCAGTTGGAAACAGTAAGCAGAGATTATAAAAAGATATGACTTAGCTTCAATGACTAATAAGAGAAGAAAGTGAGGACGATGAAAGTGTTTGTTTGGTTTTAATGTTGCAGACAGATACTACACACTCATAGTTGGAGCAAATCAGAGAAGATGGAGGAAAGTGAAGAATCAGCTTCAAGTTGTTGCCGACTCTTTGAAGATTCTTCAGATTTGATAACACACAATGAATAATCTCCTGTTACTCCTTATCTATACTCTCTGTGGTTACAAAACTGAATCTAGATTTCAGTTTGATACTTTCATATTCTCTACAACAGCCAATGATGTTTTGGTTCAATAATTGAGATGAAAATTCAATCAAACTTGCATTAAAAAGCACTGCCAAATAAAAGTGGATACAAATGTATTTACAAAACAGACGTCTTTTGTTCATCTTTCTCCCTAACCATTACACATTCTCCACCTAAATCACTCACAGCAACAACAGAAACAAACCAACTTCCTCTAATCTTCAGTTTCAATAAACAAAATGATATACCTTCAGAGACCAAGCAATGAATAAACACAATCCTACTTCTTCATTGCTTTATCTCCTGAAAGAATATGGGAATCTACTACGTCTACACGCTCCTACTTTGCATACAGAAACTAACCGTGGTTGTACAACTTCTACTCATTTGGTGTAAGCCTTGATCAGACTGCAATAATAGTATCCCGTGGCATCACATGATCGTTATGCGTCAAAGTTCAATCTCTCTTTAGATCAGTCGATGTTGGCGTAGACCCTTGCCAAAGTGTGGTTGCATTAAACGCACATACAATCCGTTCTTACCCGATAAAGCATCATGCGTCCCTTCTTCAACAATTTTGCCTCCATTGAGAACCACAATGTTGTCCACATGTCTCATCATCGCCGCTCTATGCGCTATCAGGATCGTTGTTTTGTTCCCCATTATCAGCGTATCAAGAGCTTCCTGGACAACACGGCTTGACTCTGATTCAATAGACGAACTCGNTACAATCCGTTCTTACCCGATAAAGCATCATGCGTCCCTTCTTCAACAATTTTGCCTCCATTGAGAACCACAATGTTGTCCACATGTCTCATCATCGCCGCTCTATGCGCTATCAGGATCGTTGTTTTGTTCCCCATTATCAGCGTATCAAGAGCTTCCTGGACAACACGGCTTGACTCTGATTCAATAGACGAACTCGCTTCATCAATCAACAGTATTGGAGCATTCTTCAGCACTACTCGAGCTATTGCGATTCTCTGTTTCTGTCCTTGAGTAAGTTCAACACCTCTCATCCCAATATGAGTGTCGTAACCATGAGCTAAGCTGCTGATGAAATGGTGAGCATTTGCTATTCTTGCTGCTTCCTTCATCTCAGCTTCACTCGCGTTATGTCTTGCATAAATAATGTTTTCTCTGATCGTCGTGGAAAATATTATGGGTTCTTGTTGAATCAGACCCATATGGCTTCTTAACCATCTCAGATTATATGACTTCAAGTCTCGCCCGTCTAAGAAGACCTGACCAGCTACTGGATCGTAGTATCTTTCTATCAATGATATTATTGTGCTTTTTCCAGAGCCAGAAACACCAACCACAGCTACTGTTTGTCCTCCGCTGACTTTGAGACTGAAGTTGCTTAGTACCAACACTTCCGGGCGAGTTGGGTAGCAGAAGTCGATGTTTTTCAGTTCAATGCTTCCATAGACGTTAGGCGGGCTAAGAGCTGAGGTATCATCAGGCTCGATTGTAGGCACTCGATCAATGATTTCAAATACTGAAGCTAGAGACTTGCGGCGCTTGAGGATGTAAGGTGCTAATCCGAATGGCTCGACAAGGGCAAAGGTGGCAAAGGAGAAAACCATGTACTCGGTTAGAGCTGTTGACAATTTCATATATCCGCGGTGTACTGAAAACGCAGTGTACCAGAGGAGGAGGGCATTGCAGGCGAAGAGGAGGAACTGTGAAAAGCCAAACGCAAAACCAATAGCCATCCCGTGGAGAAAGCTCTGTTTGAGTATCCGTTGAAGTTGTAGTCTGTAGAGTTCCATCACCTTGTTTCCGGCACAGAAAGCCACAACAGTATATATGTTTCTGACAGCATCCTCGAGTACTAAAGACGCCTTTCTATGCATCTCCTGGATGCCCTTTGAGAATCCAGCAAGCCAAAGTTTCTGGAAATTTAGAGAATTATTAGAAACCAGCGTCATGAGAACAGACAAATATTTCTAAGCAAAGCGCATGACACAGAATAGAGAGATTCACATACTTTGCTCAAAAAGAAAAGAAAAAAAAATCAATCTCAACTCGAGTTGGAAATCATTTGCAAAATCACAAATACAATTTGACAAAGGGAAATACGTAGTGTAACATGCAGGTTTGTGAGGAAGAATAAAAACGAAACAAACCTGAGCAATGGCAGAGAGAGTTAGTATTGGCAAAGTTGCCAATGCAACAAGAGCCAAACGCCAACCGAGCAGCAACCCAATAAGAATGGCCACAATAACGGCAAAACTATCCTGAATAAGTATGGAAAGCCTGTTGCTGAAGGCGGCTCGGACAAAAGTGGCATCATTTGCTAGGCGCATAGATAGCGTATCTGGACTATTCTCTTCTTCGTCAAACCATCCCACTTCATTACGCAGCATCGCTGGTACAACCAGGAAAAGATAATGAAATAAGGCAAGTGAAATCAGTAACATGTAATGCACTTAATTTAATAAAGAAGAAAATTCTGCAGTACCTGAGAACATCATCCTTCGCACTCGCTCCGTCATTTTCTCCCCCATTATACCAAAGTAGAAGTGCTGCAAGAAATTTGCAACAACTGTGACTATTCCCATGCCAGCAATGATCAAGCACCACTTGTCAACCTCCTCACGCAGGTGGCTTCCCTTGCTAGTATAGTATGCCGTCACTACCAATGCAATGACGTAAGCTAAAAGAGGGTTGAAAGAACCGAAGATGGCAGCACCAATACTCCCTAATACCGCATATAGCCATTCTGGAAAACTAAGCTGTGCCAACTTCCAAATTGAAGGGGACTCCTTGTGCTGAGAGTCCTTGGCCACCACATTTGCTGAAGTGTCATCAGAATGACCAAGAGGGCGGCTAAATGTCTGTGAATGGGAGCGCTCATTTTGGGGATCTGATATCAGAAGGGGTGATATAGGGGACTCCGGATCTGAACCATTTGATTTCTGACGTTGTGGACACTGAATGTCAATTTTTGGTAGTTCTGGTAACCGCATCTCGAAACTATCTTGTCTTTTAATGGTTGGTGTTTCCTTATCAGCGACATCCAAAGACGAGCCATTTTCTCCCATTTTCTCTGGAGCAGGGCTAAGATCATTGGGTGACTCTTCACTGTTAAAGTACATTTCCTGGGGGCGGAAAACATTGTGACCTCTCTGAAGAGATGGAGACTTGGCCATCTTGGGTGATGATGGTTCTTGGAAGCCACGACCAGCTGAAGAATCCCTCTCAGGCTGGAACCCTGCAGAGTCGTTGAAGTTCCTAACTGGCATCCTGTAAAAATAATAAAAATTCCACAAAATCGTCAAAGTCAATCTTTTACATGGATCATTACAAATCAAAAGCACAAAAAATATTCTACCATGACGTTAACTACACAAAAGACTTGACAAGTTGTTTTAACTACACAAAAGACTTGACAAGTTGTTAGGTATATATATGTTTAGGCTGGAGAATCATACCGTCTGGGTAGCTTTGTTGCTTCTTCACACTTCAGAAGCTCAGCATACAAATTACCAAGGTTGATTAACTCATCATGTGTACCCATTTCAAGTAGCTGACCCTCCTCCATTACAGCAATATAATCAGCATTTCTTATCAGACTTAGCCGTCGAGCTATTATTATGGTTGACCGTCCTAACATTAGAAGATCAAGAGCTTCTTGGACAATTCTTTCAGCTTCAAAGTCTAATCCTCCAGTGACCTCATCAAGCAGTAATATTTTTGGATCTAAGAGAACAGCTCTGGCAATTGAAAGTTTTATTTTCTGCTCCTCCGTCAACGTTAAACCAGCCTTCCCAACCTAGAAGACAAAGAAGTCATTTCCAACTTCTAAATTGAAAAAAAAAGAAGCAACAAATTTGCAATTCCTAACTAGAAACTTTCCAGTGAATGGTTACCTGAGTTTCATATCCTTTTTCAAGTGAGCTGATAAATGTGTGTGCACGAGCTTTTTTAGCTGCCTCCTCTATCTGATCCGGAGTAGCATCCCGGCCATATGCTATATTCTCTCTTATGCTCAAGCTAAGTAAAGCAGGCTCCTGTGTCACCAGGCCTATTTGGCTTCTTAGCCACTCCAATTTCATATTTTTAATATTTTCCCCATCCAGTAGAACTTCTCCTGTTTAAGAGAAAATCACAGATCTATTCAGCTTAGTCGCAGGTGAGTATTCAGGGGGGAGGGGGTTTGAATAAAAGTATTGATACACCTTTAATCACATATCATAATACCTAGTGTAGGATCATAAAACCGTTCCATTAGAGGAATAATGCTGCTTTTTCCAGAACCATTTCTACCAACAAGTGCGACAGCTTTCTTAGCAGGTACAGTGAGGTAAAAACCACTTAAGACTGGAATTTCAGGTCGTGACAAATAGCTGAAGTATACGTTCCGAAACTCAATATTTCCTTCAACAGCAGCCAAAGTAGTACCCTCTTGATTGGCCCCAGAAGATGAACGACTTATCATCTCAAAAAGCCTATATGCTGCAATCCTTCCTTGATCAAATGAATAAAAGTTGGTAGCAGCTTGATTTAAACCCCTGCACAGCACAATATGAATATAATTAGTAAATCAATGTGAATACAGAAACTAGAGAATAAAAATACAAGCAGTAAAAGTAGAAACTGAAGCTTACAGCCCACTTAAAATAACAGCAAAAAGGGCCGTAATGATTTCTCCACCAGTCGCCCTTCCATGAACAACAAAGAACCGACCAATCCAAAGTTGCAGGGCACATGAACATATGGCAAGCCCATAAGTAAATCCAAGTCCAAGTCCTTGCACAAGACTTATCAATATACCATATCTCAGAGTTGCTTGTAGAGAAGTTGCATACGAGTATTTTGCAAGAGTTTCATTTGTAAATGCATACAACGTCCTAATGTACGAGACCGCCTGCACATTTAGAATAAACCCTTTTAAGCGTTAGAAAATTGATACACGACGCGCCATACTGACAAAGTAAACTAACCAGAATGGAGCACAGAGAAAACGACCAGTGGGGAATACATTTCTGAAGAACTTATATTCAACAGAACTAGCGATCTTAACATAACAAAGTTATGGATCCTAAGATCTAAGTTGATGCAATTTACTAAGTTATGAATCCTAAAAATGATATACATACATCCTAACATATCAAAAACGAAGCCATGGCTGGTGCAATATGTTAGGATGGTTCTCCAGCTAGCAAGCCAGCCGTATTAAACCAAAATAAGTAACCAAAAAAATTCTAAACCTATCATAAAAAGATATAATACCTGTTCAGCAATGCTGGCTGCTTCAGCATAGGCATCTTGAATATTCTCAGCAAGTCTGTGGAGAAATATATTTGATATGCCTCCTGCAGCAACAATGAAAGGACCAGTGGCTAACGTAATGAGCGCAATTTCCCAGCAGTTGACAAAACCGATAATAAGACCACTGATAAATGTTGCCATGTTATGAATGTAATTTCCAACCTGCGAATGTCCAAGATCACACAGATTTAGAAATGCAAAAAGATGTATCAATCCATGCACAATTAAATATATCTGGAAGCAAACTTGAAACCAGATTTAAAATGTTAAACGTACTTTTTCGCTTAGAGCCGACTGAATGAGAAGGACATCACTCAGCACTTGGCTTACTATATCCCCGTTATTCCCATATGTATCAAAGAAACTCATATCCTGATTCAGTA